GTTGCTGTTGTTCTTATTCTTTCAGACAATATTTGTCTACATGGTTACTGATTATTACTGTTGATACACATACACACGTAAATACATATAATCCTATCCTTGTAGCTCTATATATGTATATACATAACGATGTCTTCGTCTCCTTTATCGTCTAAAGAAATTTTTACACAAAATCAAGAAGAACGATCTGATCGACCCAAACTTATATTGACTCCGATAATGAATTTTGATCATCATTCACCAGGTCAATTATCATCATCTACTACGCGTATAATTGTTCCAAGACCATTTTATCGATCACAAATGACACCCGATCCATTCGATTATTCAAATAATAATCGACAATTATCAGATCATCAACAATATCTTCAAAATCGACTTCAACGTCGATTTTCAACAAATCAAATAAATGGTGATTTTAAAAAAAAAATAACAATTTTTTTCCTGCTTGTTAATGCATGAGCATGATGCAAGAAATGTGTGGATGTTTGCTTTCCTATTTTAGTAATTTAATAATGATGATAACGCACTAATATCATCAGCAGATGAATCATTTCCACTTAAACTTACACTACCCACCAATTGTTTTTTTCAACCTCATCGATAAAGTAATAATAATAATTAAAAAAAATCCTTTTAATTTGTCAATTCGATTAGGATAAAATATTCATTAAATGTAATGATCATTCATAATCTCGTAAGGATATATGATGCATGTTAGTATTTGTAATATTTGTATATCCATGTGCTTTTTATTTTGATACGGTTTTTCTTGATTAAAAATTTTCGATATAGAAACTAACTATCATACTTATTTCTCATCTAAGAATTTCTTTTTTTTTTTTGTTTGATGATTTGATGATAAATTGAAGGTTATAGGAATGTTAAGCTATTCTCTAAATGATTACACATCGTCTGTTGACAACCAAAAGAACGATATTCTCATTTCGTGTCAACATAACCAATCATCAGAAGAGAATAGTACAATATTGTATATTACGTATGAAGATATACCTCGATGAAGCAGTCAAGGTTGTTATTCTTCTTGCTTAAATAGGCAATGAAGTGTTATTTTGTTTGTATAACTTTGGTTAAATAAAGAAGAGAGAGAAAGGAAGAAAAAAAAATTAAAATAGTTTTCTTTTCAAAAAAAAAAAGAAAAAAGATAAATATTCCTTGACATTTATTTAGATTCTTCACTTTCAAATTCATATTTATCTGAACAAGAACGATCTTCACCAACGATTTCAATGCATCCAAATTCTTATAAACAATATCGATCAATACCGAATAATAATCGCGGTGAGTCAAATGATTAATGATACAACTATCAAAAATTACAGTCATATTCATTAATCGAATATATATCTGAGAAAACTTTATATTGACAACAAACATCTATTTTGTAGCTTTAATCAGTGTTAGTTCAACAAAATCACCATTAATTACAATAGCTTCAGGTGGTTTACCAAGTCGATCTGAAATTCGTGTATCATCATCACCAACAACAAATAAATCAACATTACGTGAAATTCGTATTTCTCGACCAGATTCACCATCTATATCAATTAATCGTACGGGAACAAATCAACCAATAACATTTACTAATAATTCAAACGATGGAATGATTACTAATGGAAGTGGTGGTGCTTTTCATATCTCAGTTGAACCACCAACAAATACAATTCAACATGATAGGCAAAGACAAACATCACCTGTATGTTAGAAGAATTGAAATAATAAAATTTTAATTATTTATTTCTCTTTTTTTCTTTTCTCAAGTCATTTCATCAGATTGAAACACGTCGTGATTCTGGTGATAATCCATATAAATCAAATATTGTTGCTAATCGTTTTAAATCATCAATAGCTTATACAAGTCCGAATAATAATACATTTGATCGACCTTCAACTATAAGTGCAAATTTACCACCAATTTCTTTACCAATACATCATGAACATTTAATAAAAAAAGAACAATCTGAAGTTGATCATTTAACTAGTTTATTAATGAAAAGTATGAAATCGTCAAATCAACCAAATTTTTTTGGTTAGTTAAAAGATCATTTACCAAAAAAAAAAACCTTTATTTCTAAGAAAATATCTTTTTTATTTGAAAGGAATGTGTGCTCGATGTAATGATGAAATTGTTGGAGAAGAAAATGGATTGATAGCTATGGATCGAATGTATCATGTACCATGTTTTACATGTACTATGTGTGGATGTCGTCTACGTGGTATGCACTTTTATTCAATGGAAAATAAACCTTATTGTGAATCATGTTATGTTGTAAGTTGATCGTTATATAAATTAATTTAATTTAATTTTTTTTGTTTGTTTAGAATTCATTAGAAAAATGCGTAGCTTGTGCTCTACCGATTACTGATCGAGTATGTTATTTAATTATTTTGAAGAAAAAAAAACAAAATATGTAAATTGCAATAGCTTGAGGACTAATGAGATAAGTTCTCCAATTGATACATTGCTTTTGAATTGAGACTAGATGCAGTATGTAAACTCAAATGAACTATGAATACCTTGAAAAGATTTCATGCCATTAGCGTATTACTGCGAAGAAGGTCAGATGCATGTGAATAGAAGATCTACAGTTACATTCACGCCTTATTTATAAGTTTGATCTCTAATGAATAAAATTTATTTCTTTGTTTGTTGTATATTGGATTTGAATATTTAATTCATATTTATATTTTTCTAAAGATTCTTCGTGCAACGGGTAAACCATATCATGCTCAATGTTTTTCTTGTATGACTTGTCAAAAAAGTCTTGATGGTATACCATTTACTGTTGATGCAACTATGCAAATACATTGTATTGATTGTTTTCATGAAAAATTTGCACCACGTTGTTATGTATGTCATCGACCAATATTACCTCAACCTGGTCAAGAAGAAACAATTCGTATAATTGCATTTGATCGAAGTTATCATATTGATTGTTATCGATGTGAAGTAAGTTTATTTTAATTAAATTGAATATATATATATATATATATATTTTTTTTTTTTTTTTTTGAAGAATTGTAATATACAATTTACAACAGAAGAAGGTTGCTATCCAATAGATGATCATGTTCTTTGTCTTCAATGCAATCGAAAATATTCTACAACAATGTTTGGTCATTCTTAAGTTATTTGTTGTTTCAAAATAGATGTGTACATTTATTTATATTTTCAACATAGATCGATCCAATGTTGAATATTTTTGTGATTTTTAGTATTCTGTCCTTTGTATTGTATGTTATACATGTATAAGAGTATGTAGAAAACAAATATAAAATTTGTTTTGTTTTAAAAATAAAAAAAGATTTTTAGTATTGACGTTCTGCTTTTTTTGTTTGTTTTATAAAATCTTTCCAACCCATTTCGTTAATCTTGTATTTATATTATATTTGTGATTTTAATAGATGAATGTTTTAATAAACGAAGATTTTTTTGTAATTATTAATAATAGAATTGACATTTAATAGAACTTTGTTTTTCAAATCTACGAAAATGTCTCGGTTTTTTTTTGTATATCATCTAATTTTCTTATTGAATGAGTTGATTTTTGAAAAACAAAATAATTCGATCGTACCCCCGAACATTTTATGCGTAATATAGTAGTTAATTAAATATTTGAATGAGATTAGAATGTATCTATCAGAGTTGAGTAACTCAACTCAGTCCTATTGGAAAATTCTAGTGAATACATTTGTTCTTTCTAGCTCGAGAAAAAAAAGAGCCGATGAAACTAGAAGAATCTAGTTACTAGACTCAATCATCGGACCTAGATTCTAAGTGCCTACTAATTTTCTGAGATTTCTGGCCTGTTTCCACCAGAATTTCATAGATCTGAGTCTTGAAATTTTTTATTTGGATTGTTGTTCTTAAGGTTATTTACGCGAGAATGATTTGGAATATTTACAGAACAATAATAGCAGACAATCAGAAAAAGTCATAGCTGAATCAAATACCATTGAAAACAAGAAGTATACATATGTCTAATAATAGATATCACATCGATCCATCGAAAGTCAATAAAGATAAATGGATATTGTACTCAGGATTCACAAGAACAGGATAACACATCGGTACATTGAGAGTATGTTTACATTAATTATATACAATCATTAAAGAAAGAAAAGAAGAAGATCTTAACAAGATTCTGCTATTACAAGAGACATATATCATAACTTAACATTTCATTAGTGGGCGTAAGTTAGTGAAGCAAAGATGCACACCCATATCCTCAAAATAGATCAATAGGTTGGAAAGAGTAGTACGAACAATCTACACATCTGCCGCAATGAGTCACTGTTAAACATATACAATAGAATCTCGTCAAGACAAACAAAGTTCGTTGAAATACCTTTCGTATTTTTACTCTTCACTGTTGTGTCTTTTACGCATTTTTTTTATTATCATTTTTGTCTGCATTGTATGCATGCATATAAATTGTAGGCCTTCGAACGATTTGTACAAAAAACAAATGTATCCAAGTCACGGAAATCGAAAAGTATTTGTAAACGGATATTACCAAAGCTGTACAAAAAAAAAAAGATGTTATCTTTTATAATTAAAGCTAAGATAACTATGGGTTAGTTCAGGCACTCGAATGACATCTTGACATTTGAAAATATTTTTACTTTTTCAAACATAAAAGCATAGGAGTGAAAATTTGTACAATTTATTGTACTGATTAGTTCGGATTCGGGTTAATTGCCAAAAGTTGTATCCATATAGGGATGAATAGAATCGAGAAATAGATTTCTATCAAAGTATATACAATAAAGAAATTTTTTGTTTTTCCTGTTTTCATTTATTATATAAACATTTCTTGTTTATTCATATAATGAACAACATCAGTACAAGCGAAAAAAAGAGAAAACAAATCTATAAAATCTAGTCAATAAATACAAAAATAAACTATACAATATAAATAAAACAACACATATTTCATTAAGATTTTTTAATTCGATAAGAAAGAAAAAATTTATATTTAATTATCATCTTCATTTATTTGATAGTTAATATTTTCTTTATTCGATTGTCCACTATTTTTTTTTGAATTTGATGATTGACTTTTTCTATTTTTTTCTTCTTTATATGCAGCCAATTTTTCATTATATTCATTTTGACTTGTTTGATATTGGTTTTGATATCGACGTTTTGTCTAAAATAATACAAGAAAACATTTATTCAATGAAATTATATATTTAAAAAAAACTTACTGCATCATCAGATTGACGCCACATTTCACCTAATTTTTTCAAAATTTCTTGACCACTTAAATTAGGATTTTGTTTCTTTAGAATTAGAAGAAAAAAAACAAAAGACTTATTTAAAAAAAAAATTCTTTTTCTGCTAATTACCTTAACTTCTTCACGATTATCTGAGAAAAACATTTGCCAAGCTGTTTTCCCTCTTTTTGGTGCATTTGGATCACGACGACGTTTTTGACTTGAACGACGAGCCATTTATTATAGGATTATTTAAATTTCTTTTTTTTATTACTAACAAAATAAAACGATTAAATCATATAGTAACGTTTGAAATTATGTACTTACTTGAACTTGTATGTATAGATGGATATGAATTAAAATAAGAAATGGAAAAGTTTTTATAGGCTATGATATATTCGTCCGTTTGAACAGACGTGTATATTGTTAACCGTTAGACAAAACAAAAAAATAGAATCGAGGGATTTAAATACGAACGAGAAAAACAAAATCAAATGATCGTCGAAGAAAAGAATTTTATTCTTAATTAAATAGGCATGCAGAACAACAAAAAAAAAAGAAAAGTTAAATAAAATATATAAGTCATAATAGCGATTTTATATAAGAAAAAAAATATTTAAAATGTTTTTGTTAATTATGATGAAATTTTTGGACGTTGAAAAGCATTTTTTAATAATTGTATTGTTGGTAATTCAATAAGAAGAAAAGTAAAGAATGACAAAATATAAGAAATAATAATATTAATAATTGAACCATATAACTAAAATAAAATAAAATAAAATATTCTTTGTAATTTAATTTTTACAATACATACAATATTAGTTATTGTATAATGTGTAGGTTGATCACGACTAATATAATGAACAAAAATAACTAATGCATGCCAAAGAAAAGCACCATAAGTTAATTTTGCCAATCGTTCAAAGAATCGATGACTAAGGAATTTATTGATTATTCCTATTAAATATAATTTTGTAAATATATAAATAGAAAAATGAACAAACCTCCTTGTCCAATAAAACAAACAATGATAATTATACCTAATCCAATAGCCCATCCAAGTCTTGATAAAGTAAGAAATGCAATACGTTCTGATCGATTTAATGAATGTCCATTATAATCTCCATATGTACCAAAAATAATTAATCCTAAAATAGTCAAAGCAAATATCCCAGCTAGAATTTGTTTTAGTCGATTTGCTCGAACTGATCGTCGTTGTGGTAAAATCGATTCCCATGATACTGTATTTGAATTTGTATAAACTTCATAAACAACATAACCAAGTATTAAACCAATAGCATATGGAGCAATACGACACCATGGTTTAACATAAACATCATTCATATAATTATGAGTTGTATTTGACCAATGCGATCCATTTGAATATAAATCGCTTAAAAGTCCATGATCATAATTATTTTTTGATACAATTACTGCTGTTGTTATAATATCAACTAGAATAAAAGCACTGGCTACGATCATTCCAACAATCCAATTCCTAAATAAAAATAAACAATCAAAATTAAATCTAATATTGAAAGAAGACTGCTGTCTAGTGGCAGATTTAATAGCTCGATATCTTTCCTATAACTAATACTAGCTGTATCTCTGAATAGAAGACCAATCTGATACCAAAAAAGATTTTATTCTAACTTCAAAAACTAATATATATCAAATTGAAAAATGATAGTTAATATTTGAACATCTTACCATGTAACAGTCAATAAAAATAATGGTGAAATCCAATGAAATTGCATATTTACTGCTAAAAACCATGTTACCTAAATACAATTTATTTGTTTATTATAATATGAAAAATTAATTTTTTATCTTTTACCGCCATACAACCATCACGTATATCAAAAAAATTATTTATATAAAGTAAATTACGCCACCAAGTTCGTCCACAAGTTGATGGTTCACTACCATTAATTGGATAAACAGGACCATTTTGACCAAGATATGGTGAAAGAGTAATATAGATAAGTAGAATTATAGCATAAAATATTGTATATCTATATAAAAATAATTTATATATTAAAAAATTTAAATTAATATTAATACCTAAGATAACGATAAACATAATGATTAAGAAGAAATTTTACAATTGAAACTGTTTCATTTTCACTTTTCCATATAAGAAATATAAATGCAGTAAGTAAGCCACTAAAAATCAAATGTAATCAATTAATAAAATTTTTTTTTGGTAAGAATTCAAAATTACCTTAAGACAAAAAATGAATCAATACTAAATATTGCTTGTATAATTATTTGAAACCATAATTGACGTGACCAATTGAAAATAGTCATTACATTATCTAAATAAGAATTATTTTATATATATATCGTGAAGAATAAAATATGAAACTTCTATGAGCGTGAGCTTAATCAAAATGAACTCTACTTTTACTTACAAAAATAAATTATTTTCTAAGAATACAGATTTGGAACTTTTTTTGTTTTTTACTGATAAAAATCTATGAAAACTTACCCGAATAAAAAGCAGCAAATAACAATGTATGACCAAGAATTACCCACCAAAGTGAAAGAACACGAATACCATTTAAACAAGCAAGATTTCTTGGTTGATGTTCACGTTTTAATATATAATAATTACTAATTAATGAACAACAATTAATAAAATTTTGTGCCACTATTAATAATCGAAATTAACAAAAAAAAAAAATACATATATATATATTTCAAAAGAATATGATTTTACTTACCTGAATCAACAGCTGATCGAGGTCGAGAAACCAATGGTGTTTCTTCATCAACTGAACTTTCTATTTGAGATATATTAATTGTTGCTGCTGTTGTAGTATCTGTTGTTATTAATGGTGCAGTTTCTGTTGTTGTTGTTCGACTTAATATTGGTTCATAAGTTGCTGTAGGTGTATCATCCATTGTTAAATCATGTTTATGTCCATATGCAATATGCAATCCAGTAGCAACAAGAATAAGAAAAACAATTAAAGTTAAAAGTACACTGAAATAATAAAAAATAAAAAATAAAAACGAACATAACATGAGAGCAAATTTTACATAGTTAAAATTGCTTTTGCATCATATGAACGTTGATCAATACAGTGAATACTATCATTTGTTAAAGGAAGGAATCTTTTAATAAATGGAATTCGAATAATACCTGAAAATTTTAAAATAGAAAATCAAAAAAAACAAAAGCATTTTTTAATAATATGTTCACATACGTCGATTAATCATATGAACAATATCATTTGCATCACAACTTTGAGGTACACAAATACCATAAACAGGTCGAAAAGTAATTGTATAATCATTATTAATAATACATGTTCGTGTTCGAAATGGTTGTTCAACAACACTATTATTTAAACCACGTAAATGATGTTCACATTCAGATACTGAACCAATCCAATAGATATTTCCTTGCATTATTCCACTAGGAAATTTACCCCAAGCATCCAATGCTGAAATAAAAAAAAAACAAAAACAAAAATTGTTTTTTTATAATTCAAAAGATAAGATTTACTTTTCAATGCCCATATTTGTCTAGTATATAAATCTCTCTTTAATAATCGAATATCTCGACTACAATTCGATGCATTAGCATCGAATGTAAGATCTTGATTTAACCATGGAAATGTTTCATTTAATTCAATATCAGAATTAAGAATACCTTCTTGTACAAATCGACCATTAGAAATAATCTTTGGTATAAGATTAAAAGATGATAAAGATAATGATTCACCTTTGATACTAATTTGTAATATTAGAACAATAAATACAATAAAAGTGTAAATTATAGATTTCATTGTGATTTATCTATAAACACAGAAAATATTAGTATGAAACTCGTCTATTTATATAATGTATATGGGTGATGACTCATCGAATGTTGTTTTTTTTTCTTCTAGAAGAGTAATGAAGCGAAACACACTAAAGTAAAAATTTGAACCCCACACCCTACTAGTCATAGTCATCTATTTTTAACTTTATCTACTGAAAATTAACAGTTTTCTTCTTTTTTTATTTATCGTCTTCAATTTAATTAAAGTGTTTAAACTATTTTTTAATTTAACATAAAGGAATTCATAACAATTGTGTAATCATACATAAAATAATAAATACCACTCTAAACACTTTGAAATATAAGAACACTTAAAAAAAACGTGTCCATTTTTTTTTTCTTAATGCGAATATTGTGTTTCATTCAAAAGAATAGTTTTGTAATATGAAACTTCTTTCACTTTATTTTTCAATCCTATTTAAAATACATGATTTTACAGTTCTTTTCATTTTAATGGTTGACTATATTAAATGACATCGAAAGAACAGAAGGAGACTAACAAAAAAGAATTGAAGCATTTACTTTAATGTTTATGCCATTTACATATTCATTAGAAATGCAACTTTCAAGTAACATTTTTATTTTTTATTTTTTTTCTAATACTAATATCAAGAATAAAGCTTTAAGGAAATAAAAAAAATGAAAGAATAAAATAAATTATATATTTCTTTGTCTAGAATTATGATAGAGAATTATTTCTTCTAGCTGAATGAAAATTACAATTTTTCTTGAATTTTTTATTTGTTTTGTTGTTTAATCAAAGCATCAATTCAAGATAAATTAGTTCTATAAAAATGTATTTTTACATATAATATGAAGGATTTTTTGAAAGAAAATAAGAAAAATATTTGAAGCAATGCAAATAAAATTGCCAAAAAAAATTCATCATTCTTTAATTTTGTATGTTAATAAAAACGAAGAACGAAAAAAAAAATAATCTTAACAAGGAAACCAATAAATATTGATTTTAACAGACATACATCAAAAAAATATATTTATAATTTTTACTCTATATATGACTGAAACTTTCATAATCGAAAATAGAAGACATGCTGTTTATTTTAATAAGAACAATATATTTCTTATAGGACAATTTTGTTCTTATTGTACTTGTCATGGTTATATTCGTCGACGAATAAATTCATTAAATACTTATTTGATGATATATTTCATTTTATTTTCTATAATGATTTATTATCATTCATTAACATCTTCAAAAACAACTCAATTTGATATTCAATCATCATCATCATCATCATCATCTTCTTCTTCTAATCGAATAATGTATGTAATTCGAACAAGTTCAAAATTTTATAAAACTCGTTTAAAATATCTTCTTCAAACATGGATATTATTAGTTAATGAACATGTTTATTTTATAACAGATAAAATTCTACCAAATATATCATATAATCATTTTATTCTAACAGAAAAAATATGTGGTCATGAAGAACATGCTATGAATACATTATGTTGTAAAACAGCACATGATTTTATATTTTTTCATCGTTATCTAACTAAATATGATTGGTTTTGTCATTTTGATGATGATCAATATGTTAATATTAATAATTTAGAAAAATATTTATCTACATTAAATTTTAATCGTCCATATTATATTGGACGTAATTCATGGTCTAAACCACTTAATCGATTAAAACAACCATATCCATATCCATTTTGGTTTGCTACGTTAGGTGCTGGTGTATGTTTATCAAAATATTTAGTTCATCTAATTGAACCTTATACTAGAAATATTTCAAAATTTATTAATGGTTGTTTAAAAGAAAATTATCATGATGATATATATTTAGGTTTTCTTATATCTGCTTATCTTAATGTAACATTAACAAAAAATATTCGTTTTCATTCACATTTAGAAAAAGATTTTTATAAAGATAAACAAAAATTTTTCAAAATATTTACTGAACAAATAACATTTGGCTTTTTTTATCCTTATAATTATCCAAATTTTCTTCCAAATCTTTATCAATCTCATTTAGATCGTTCACATATACGTACACTTCATTGTCTATTATATCCATATATATTTGAATGTCAAATAAAAATACGTCAATATCTTTTAAATATGACGAAATAATTTTAGTAACAAAATATCGAAATAATATTTTAATTGTATTGGTACGTATTATTATATTAAAAATGTGTAATTGGTTTTTGTTTTTTGCTTTTGGTGAAAATAAATTTGAATGCAATTGTTATGTCTGATAAAGATTTCGACTAATACACAACGAAATACATTAATAATATATATTCGTAGAAAAGATACGTCTATTTATTTCTATTAAAATAAACAAAACAAAAAAGTATTATTTAAAAATTTTGATATATGTCAGAGATTTGAGACTCACCAAGAGATTTCCTCTTACTATGTTTTTGTTTTGGGTAATATTTTAAAATAGTTGGTGCATAGTTTTATCTACTATATTCAATATCATGAAAATAGTATGATGAGTGTGACATAAGTACATAAAGAAGAATATAGAGACTTCTGTTATTCCATATGGAATAATAAGATTATTTATAATGAAATATGAAATCCAACTGAGACCATATACGAAGCAAGTAAACGACCGTTTTTTATTTTCTCCAGAAATCATCGCATTCTGTTGTATTTTTTAGAGCATGTTTATTTCTGAATGTTGTTAATTAATTTGAGTACTTGAAAAATTTGTCACAAAGTCGCATTTGTCAAAGTAGGTTTTTTGATGAAATGACTTATTTAGTTGTTCTATGATTATCTGATGAGTATTTTATTATTTAACTTTTTCTTTTTTTTATATGAATCGATGAAAAAATAAATAAATAAACGAGTGACTATTTTATTCTAACGCGATACTGAACGCATTATAGAAAGTCTTAAATAAGAATATTATATACTCTCGCCGGTTATCATTTCTACAAATCGATCAACTGCGAAAATCGGTATGACATATCAAATAGTTAGTTTTTTTTTTTTACAAAAGCATCTTTTGTTTTAATTCTGTTTTCATATCTAAGATAATTCCTTATTCAGCCAAGAGTTTTCTTTTACCGTCACAATTACTTTTTTTTCTATTCTTTAGAAAACATTATTTTTAAAACCTGTAAATGAGGAAAGTGTATATACTACTGTCACTAGAATCTGCCGGATTTAATATTTTCCTTGATCCAGAATCGGTTGATTCATTTTTTTTAAAATCCATACTCGTACTTCTAATGCCAACAAAATTTTTTAGTCTATCGAAGGAATGTTTTCAACTAATCAATCGCTATCTCGTCAAAAACTAGTGGCCTGTAGGTTATCAATCATACTGATTTCGAATATGATCAAGTCTTTATGTATTGATTTTCCGTACTAACAAACATTTCGTCAAAAATCGTTTTTGATCTATTCAGATTATAAAGCATATTTCTTATGACCACATTCAGAATCTAATAACTTTTAGCCGGAAGCGTTCCCTTGTAAGTCTAATAGCTTACTTTACTAACGCATCCTACACATGTCTCAGACTCGAACCAGATCAATAGAAAATTCTTTGAACGAGACTCTAGTCGTTACCTAGAATCAACTTCATACAGTTTACTTTAGTGTCTGTTAACATTATTATACAAATTCAATTTTAAATTATTGATACTAAAAACTCTAAAAAAAGATCTGATAGATTATCAGAAATAAATGAAGTAAAATAAAAAATAAAAAAAAAAAAAATAAAATATTTACGAAATGTTGATTGTTTTTCTATTTTAAATATATTTCGAAAGTTAAAACTAATTCACCAAAGATAATTGATTTTATTTTGTTTTCATGCATTATCTATTGAGTTTTTTTTTCTCCAATTTATCGCGAATTGATAAATAGATAATATATACTATCATTTCTATTCTAAAAAAAGAAAAAATAAACGAACCCGAAATACAAATATTTCACAAGTATAGATACATCATATCATGTCAACATATTGATGAAAAAAAAAATACGAATACATATAATTATAGATATTGTGTAAAATAGAGCTTGAATAAAATATTTTGTTATGAAAAATCAGAATAAAGAAAAAGAATCCTTATATTTATTTATTTGGTAAAAAAAAAAAAGAAGACACAAATACAAACGGTAGATAACTAAATCTAACGATTGACTATATAATTTATAAGAGAAATCAAGATGAATCTTTAATACGTCTGCAAATTTCAGATGTATATTCTGAACATTTCGATTTACCACCTAAATCACCAGTAAGTACCTAAATATACAAATAAATAAATGAATATTTACAAAAATAGAGAAAAATTCAATTTAAAAATCAGATCTACTTTGTATTATTATATCATTTGATAGACTTTTCAAAGTTCTACAAAATAACACTATTATGTGGAGCTTAATTTATGATCGAGGCAATTTATTCAAACGCAAAATATTCATGAAGATCAAAAGTTGTCCTTTTCAACTATTTAGTTAGAATAATCAGGTTTCCTATCGAATCAAAATCAGCATAAAAAACTGAGTCAATCTATATGTGTTATAAAATCCTCCGATAACTTTTATTTTCATCGAAAAATTCAGCTCTCAAGGTTTCATCGATGAAATCAGTCCAAACATCGTTTTTATTACTTATTCATCTGTCGTTTTGAATTTTCCTAGATTTTTCAAAAAACTCAGAAATGTTTTTTTTTACAGTCAAACTAACGTTTTTGATTGGCTTTATATTTCGACGTAACTCTGAGGTCTGAATTTTTGGAATGAAAATAAAAGTTGTCAAAGGATTTTATGACACGTATAGATCGACTCAGTATTTATGCTGACTTCAAATACATCATTTGTTTTGACAGAAAATCTAATTATTTTGACAAAAACGGATTAAATATTAGTGAAAATAGAGCAATTTTTTTGGTTCTCATGAAAATTGTGCTTTTGACTAAAGTGTCTTCTCCACAAATTAATGAGGAAGTTTTTCTATTGATATTTTCTTATTGTACATGCAAACGAATAACGTCATTTAAAAGAAAAGGAAAAGAAACATTCCATATAAACACAGCATTGCATGATACTAAAGATCGTTTATATCGAGTATTGAGTAGGCCGCGCGCAACCGGGATAAAGTCTAACGGTCTAATTCGAGTCTCAATTGACTGCGGAGACTGGAGTTGACCAATGAAGAAAAAATAAACTGAATTTCGAGAGGCAGCTGATTTTATCGCGTAATGTTACTATCACAATAATATTTTGAAATATCCTTTGAAAATGATAAACCTTAAAGAACATTGTCAAACGAGATCGAGCAAAACTCAAAAAACATATTTCTTTATTTTAATATCTCCGTCATAAATTTTTATTTTTATTCGCTTCTTCGATAAGAAATTATTGTCTTGAGTATATTGTAAAACTGTCTTATGACTCATCGCAAAAAAAAAAGAAAAATTAGTAATCGCATGACTGTCAGTTTTTGACATTGTGCATAACCCATTTAATTCACCTAGCCTGAGTAAAATTAATGGATAGAGAGAGAGACACGCAAAGATTTCTTCATGATCATGATAAATATCAAAGTGTCTTAACGTTAATAAAAAAGGCACATAGAATCTTTACATTTTAATAGATTCTATTCAGTCAGCATGATTCATTCGTTTGCGAAATGATTTGAAAAAACGTAGTTGATTTTTTCGTTCTATCGCTGTTAGACTTTTTTTTTTTCTTCGAAGAATGTTAAACTTTAATATATTCAATTCGGTTCTTTTTGATTATATACTCTACTTCACTTAATATGAAAATACAATTAATTTTAATAATCCTGAGAATAATCAATCAGTAACATATTTCTACCACATCATATTTATTCACATAAGCAGAAATTACCGAACTTAAAGCCTTCTCCCTCAAAAATCAATCTCAAACCAGGAATATCCAAATTACATGAAATTTTCATCCCTATATCATGATGTTTTACAGAGATATTCATCAAGCAAGAGTCAAAAATAGCTCGATCGTATCTCCAAGAATTCTCTGTAGGCCTTCATTTTATACATTTAAATTTTTTTTTGTTTGGAAGCTTGTGTCTAGGGCTAGCCCTTTTTTTTTTAAATTCTTACTTTTTGGCACTATTTTCTTATATAATAATAAAAAAGGTTATTTTAAAAAAAGGACCATCAGAGGAACTAACCCTAAACACGAGCTTTCAGAGAACAAAAAGTTATTGGTTACAATGAAGCTCCTTCGAGAATTCTTAAAGATACGATCGAAAATCTAAAAAATGAAAAAGATTTTTGGTTTCTGCTCAAAAGCAGCTTATTTTTCGAATAGAGGATGATGGAAATCTTTCAAAATTTCTGGAAAAAAAAACCGAAGTACCGAGTAAAAGTTTTTGTCATTTATGAGAAATCAGATCACAGGCTATCTTTCTCTGTATTTATCTTAATTTCGATGATTCTGACGAAAAGTGACTTTTTTGAGGAAAACAAGTATGACAAAAGAAATTAAACATTTATATATATCGTGAACCATCCTATCTTGGTTAGGAATAAAGTTTTACAAACCTTTCCATCTTTTATTGTATCAAAACAAGCTTTTTCAATTCTGTCTGCTTTATCAAACATATGTAAATGTCGTAACATCATAACAGAACTTAAAAGTAATGCTGTTGGATTTGCTTTATCTTGTCCAGCAATATCAGGTGCTGTACCATGAACAGCTTCAAAAATAGCTGCACCATTTTCCCCAATATTACCACTTGGTGTTAAACCTAAACCACCAATAAGACCAGCACATAGATCACTTAATATATCACCATATAAATTTGGCATAACAAGACAATCGAATTGTGTTGGATCTTGAACCATTTTTAAACAAACTGTATCAAGATACATTTCTTCAAATTTTATTTCAGGATATTTTTCAGCTACTTGTCGTGCACTTTTTAAAAATAAACCATCAGATAGACGCCTAAATATATATATATTTTTTTTTGCAAAGACAAAAACAAATGAAATCAAAAGAATATTTTTCATCTTCTTACATAATATTTGCTTTATGAACAACTGTAACTTTTTCTCGTTTATGTAATTTAGCATAAAGAAATGCATATTCAGATACACGTAATGATGCATGTTCAGTTATAAGTTTAATACTTTGTACAACACCTGGTACAATTGTATGTTCAATACCTGAATATTCACCTTCAGTATTTTCACGTATTGTAACAAGATCAACATTGTCATAAGGTGTTTTATAACCTAGATATTTCTTTTTTTTTCTTTTGAAATTAAATATAATTATGAAATTCTAACCTTCAAGTGTTTTACATGGTCGTACATTAGCAAATAGATTAAATTGTTTACGTAAAGCAAGATTAAGAGATTGATGTCCTTTGCCAACCGCTAGAATAATTATTTTAATGATATTCATTTTTTTTTGAAGACTATTATTTTCTTACGTGTTGCTAATGGTCCTTTAAGACCAATTCGATTTTTTGTTACTGATTCAATAGCTCGAAGAGGAATACGAAATTTTCCATCAGGCTAAAGAAGAAAAGAAAATTGTAAAAAACGAAATCTATGAACAATCATAATCATACTGATTTAACAGGTGTTACATCGACCGATTCCCAACTTATTGGTACCTCTGCAGCTTCAAATATTTTTTGAACACTATTTGAAATTTCCGGACCAATACCATCACCTTAAATAAAGAAAAAAACAAAACAATTATTTTTGATATCAAAAATAAATTTTTTTTTTACCTGGAATAAGAGTTATTGTTCGTGGAGAATCGTTTGAATCAGTTGTACTCGTTGTGCTAGTGTTTGTTTCATTAAAAAGAGATGAAGACGTAGCAAAAGTACGTCGATAATAAATCGATGATGATGTTGAATGACATGTAATAGCTAGACGACGTAATAATGCAAACGACATAATATTTTTTGATAATCACGCACACACACACACAAGTCTAAAATATAGAATTGAAAGTAAGCATTAAAACAAAAATATAAATAATTATAAAAAAAAACAACAACAACAACAACAACTTAGTTACATATTTACACTGGAATAGCGAAGGTGAATAAAGAACAAATCAAAAGTCAAGACATTAGATGTCTGTAGTGGTTATAGAAAGTATTGCTGAGTTTTCATTTTGCACTACTGCATTATCAGTCAAAGGACAACTATCGGTATATTATGATAGAATGCATAGGATTATAATAGAAATAATCAGATAAACAAGCTTTTTTCTTATTGACATATAATTACTAAAATAACTTGAAACAAATAGAACAATTTTTTCAGTTGGTTAATGTTGCTTATCGATTCTTTTTTTTGTTTTTTCATTTTTACATTTATCATCGAGCTTTTTTTTATCTTTTTTTCTTGTATGAATTTTGAAGTTCTATAATTGATATTTTGTTATTTTCAAAGCAGAGATGATTGTGTTGTTAATATATTTACTAAACACTGAAGTCACATCTTGAAAAGAGAAATAACATTTATTAATTGATTTATAAGTCATCTTTCATAAACCAACTTAAGGACGATTCGAAATTCTTAGTACTAATTTCAAGTCTATATATATGAGAATCTGTAATAATACTACCATGTACTATTTTATCATATTTCGAATAACATCAATTGATAAATTTCTTGATGAATGTTTAGAATTTATCAGACTAGAAAGTAGTAAAATGTATTTTTCTGGTGACAGATATGCAACATTCATTCGAACATTTGTAACAGAAAAAAAAGACAGCCGAACAGCTGGACGATTTTCGAAATATAATTTTCAAGGTCATAAACACAAGATACAGACAACTTTCGATGCTTTTGAACAGAAAAATAACTGTGTTGCAAAACTAACTGATAGTGAGTCTACAGCAAAAGTTTTTGGTACATTAAAAGAAAAATGACAGCGGTGGGAATGCAATAATAGAAAGAAAAAAATGAAAAACGACATTACAGTTTCTCATCCATAGTAACAGCTATTAATCTGCAACTTTGTAATTAATTAGTACAAAGTAATTACAATAATAATCTACCAAACTTGCAAAAAGTTTGCTTTTGTTGAATGCAAAAACGATAAAAATTTAAAATCGTCTCCGAACTTCTGAAACACCATTGATTTATTTTATTTCTCATTATTTTGAGAGTTGATGTTCATGAATAATAAGCACAATATATAATCTTTAAAACTCTATTCAAACAAGAAAATTACATCGATTGATCCGGCTCATTGAAATAGTATATAATCCAATATCATAAATCAAATAATATCAATAAATAAGCATCTATTATCGAAGTCTTTTAACAGAAAATGAGTCAAAATCATGCTCTATTATCCTCCTTAGTTATTTTCTAGTGATATATTTGTCTAGAACTATTCCGTGTATATATTATAAAAATGATAAACTTATGTATACCAAGAAAGATTGTATATATGCGCAATAAAAAAGTTGAGTTTTTATAGAATAAGTTCTACTTTCTGTTTAAATTGAAAAAAAAAGCCGAACAGGTGAATACTTTTACACGTTAGAGAATTTTACCACCCAATAGATCAAAAGATAGAGCATTAGCAAATAAAAAAAAAAAAGAAAGTGCTATATTAAAATATTAGATTTGAAAAAAATTATTCGAAATGAAAGAATGTAGCAAAAAAACAAGAAAAAAAAACGTTACAATCGATAAAATAATATAATACATAAATTTGTTTTGATAAATCAAAAAACTAATTATTAAATATAAAGAAAATTAATATTTTTCTTTAGTATCTTGTTTTATTTGAGCTATTGAACGAAAATGATGTACAGCAAATGCCAATGGATCATATGGATGGCCTGGATCTTTTTCATACCATGCATAAGGAAAGAAAATATGAGGTGCAAATATTTGAAAACCATCTTTCATTGTTGTCTTCTCTTCTTGTTGCATAATTTTAACTTGTTTTGTTATATAATATGGACCTGTCTGTTGATTAATTGTTCCATTTTCATATAGAGCCCAATTTGATTCTAATTGTATAATTAATCGTTGTGTTAATTCATGACCAGGAATAGCACCAAATATACCATTACAAATGAAATATTCACTTTCATAAGCAACAAATGCTTGTATACCATGTAAAAGTATTTCAAGATTTTTTAATGGTTCAAAATCTAAATCTATATAAATACCACCATATTGATAAAGAATTTCATAACGTAAAATATCTGATGCTTGTCGAAAATTTCGAATTGAATTTTGAAAACGTTTTTGATTATATAATGATAATTTTCGATTAATTATTGTTTCATGTGTCCATAAAAATATTTTCCAATTTGGATGATATTTTTTCCATAATTCAAGATATCGTTGAGAATTATCTGATAGAGAATTATTATTAAGCCAAATAAAATGAAAAATACGTGGAATAATAATTGGTGAAATCAAATAACGTTGAACATATGATTTTCTATTATATTTATAATTAGTATTCACTAAAAGAATTTTTGACATAAATACATCAAATAATTCTAAATTTGCAATATTAATAATCATTGAATCAACTTGAGCTTGAATTGGATAAATTAAATTAAGTAATGTTGCTGCACATGAAGGACTTATTATATATGCATATGTACCCCAATTAGAACCATTTATTTTCCATAAAAATTCATTATAATCTATTAATTTTGTTTCCATTTCTTTACCAACTAAATTACCAAAATAGAAAAGACTAAAATTTGTTGGTAATGAATAAATTAAATAAGGAAACATAATATTTAATAATTCTTTATTTAATTGTACATCTTCTTCTAATATAAGCATAGGCATATTTAATTTAACAACATATTTCCAAGCACGAACATGTGATTCAAGACAACCTAAAGCTCCCATTGTAAGATAATTACCATTAATAATATAATCTTGACTAATTAATTGATTATAAGTATATTTTGATATTTTATTTTCACGTAAATAATTAAATAAATCAATTTTTTGTCCATCAATACCAACTAGAGATTGTACACCAAATGGAAAATATTTAAGAAAAATATGTTCTTTATAAAGATTTTCAACTAAATTTGTAGTATTAGGATTAAGACTAATGATCAGACAACCACCGATCGGCATATGAGTAATACTTTGAGATGATTGAATAATAGATCTACGACGACGTTTTTCTACATTAGCTATTGTTGTTGTTGTTGTTGGATAAGTTGAATAGCCTGACACATCGAATATCTTACCACTTGTAGTACCACTAATTGTTGATGTTGGATAAATTGAATAGCCTGACACATCGAATATCTCATCACCTTTAGTACCACTAATTGTTGATGTTTGACCAGTGCTATTTGTTGCTTTAATTATAGAAAAGAAAATCATAATAATCAAAGGATTTTGAATAATATCAATTAACTCAAGAAAACTAATAGCTATGTCGTGTATAGTTGATTTTAAATTCAATGGTAATGAGAATATTAATTCTTGTTCATAATCGATTTTGACATCGGAAAGGATGAAATACATCAATTTTTACAAGATAAAAACTGAGCAGTTACGATGTCAATTTTTCAACCATATCTATTTCTCAAACGTACGTTTAACTGAACGATACTAATGTATTGTATCAACTTAACAATGTGCATTCAGTTCCTATCTGAATGTGGTGATTGGTGCAGCTGTGGAGAAGAAAATCGCTGTTTTGGTTGATGCTGAGATAGACTTTGAGATATATTGTTGTATTGATTATTCAAATAGTATTTATTGAAAGTCTTATTAAGTCTTCCTCTAAAGGAAAAGTTTATTTTTCTTGTATCTAATACATATATATATATATAGTTTATTGTTTGAAGGAAAATACGACGTGCCTGATTGCTTGAAATGGGTTTGGACACCTATAGAAAGATTCTACTCAAATGAAACGTTATAATAATTATTCGATTTATTGAACAGGAAATGGATAAAATTCTATTGCACTTCTAATTAATATAAAAGAATAATCCATAATTATTTTGACGGAGCAAAACATCTCCTTATACGACAGCCTATTAATATGCAGATTATTTGGTCTTCGCATTATTGGTGGTATTTTTGGCTGTTATCAGTAAATTAATTACAGCTAGATGGAATAGAGTTTATTGAATTAAATCTCACATCGGAGTTATTTTACAAAACGGAGATGACCAACCTTGCTCAATTGATATCACAGATTTGAATGAAACTTCGTCTGTATGTAGGGTATGGGTGCGTCTCTTTTCTTTCTGCTTGCACCCATACTTTAAAAAAAAGAATTAAGTCAACCATCAGGATCACATTCAATATTATCTACGAAGCTAAGGAAATTTGAAGCAATTTATATAGGAGTTCCAACTTTATTACATTTGTGTGACTTAGATTCAATAGCAACTTTATAATCTGAAAACGCAAGCAATCTAAATAATCATGACAAATTAGAGGTTTAAAGTTCGAATATGAAGAAAACCACTAATCTTCGATATGTACGATTAAAATGGATTAAAAGGTAATAATATACAAAAAGTGAAAAAACAATTTGGTTATGATCGTTTTCTTTATGATTAAAAATCTATTATAATGGCACTATTATAATCCAAATTTAATCATTAAATTAGATTTAAAATAAAAAAAATCAGATTTAATTGATTTTACCAAAAACTTCATTTCAATCGATTTTTAATCACAAAGAAAACAATCATAACCCGATTTTTTTCCACTTTTTCAACATTATTACCTTTTAATCCATTTTAATCATACATATCGAAGATAAGTGGTTTTCTCCATATTTGAACACCAAACCCATAATTTTCCATGATTATTTAGATTGCTCGTGTTTGCAAACTATAATGTTACTACTGAATCGAAGTCACACAAATGTAGTAAAGTTGGAACTCCTATGTAAATTGCTTCGAATTGAGATGGTGTCATTACAGCAGAAATCGATTAGATTTTTAATCAATATAATAGATTATTGCCGGAAAAAATCTATTTTAATTTATTATTTCGTTGAATTTAATGAAAATGTCGTGTATTTAATCAATTTTTTATGATTATTGTTCGAAAAGTCAATTTTAATCTAATTTTTTGACTGTGTTTTTTTTACATGGATAAATAAGCATAAAGGGAAAGAAAAGCAGAAGGCTAAAACATACTATCATCATTGACATCCACAAGTTCGTTTGAAAGGTCAGAAGTCGAAGCTAGAACAGTTTTTGATGCAATCGTGCAGATTAACCATATAGAAGACCAAACGCCTATTAATAACTTGTTCTTCCATGCAATGTACTTCATTTTTCTAGAAAAGAAACATAATTTATCGTTTAGAAAAGAACCTATTGTTCTTGAACTATCCTCTAATTCTTTCCAAAGGAGTAAATTTCAATTTATTGTAACAATTTAGAAAAGTAAAATAACTATGGAAAACTTATCAGATAGCACATGCTCTGAACAGATTCTCGACAATTTTTTCAATGCGTTTCTATCGAGTTTTTTTCGTTGGGTTTTATACTTAATCTTTCTGAAATTGATGAAACGATGACTAACACAGGAATTATCTGAAGTGTCCAGCTCCGTTTTGACTTCCTCATACCTCATTTTATAGAATCTATTGAGATAAGAAAAACTCTAAAACAGTTTACGATCGTTTTACTAAATCTTCTGCCTATCGGAGGTATTTACTCAAAAGCAAATTATGAAATGTGAATACTATTGAACGAGACACGAAAGAATCTAAACAGAGTTGGACACATCGAGTGCTTCTCTTGTAAGTTATATACGGAGTATTGGGTTGATGATCGTTTCTCCATGCAATCATCTTTCGAAGAAGAAGAAGAAAAAATTGAGAGATCTAATTCCGTCCCCTTCCTGTCGATACTCGTTAGTTATGTTTCATTGAATATGCGTCATAATACAATGTAGATACCATTCGCAATGCTTCACGAGTACGGTTAAGATGTTTTTCTTATTCTATATTGCTCATCTATACATATATATATATCGTACACGTTTTATTTTCACTCTTTGATCACGTTTATCTTTCGTCTCTTTCGCAGAACTGCATCTGTAAACTTGCCCATCCATCGCATACTGCTGACAAGGTGAACAATACATATAATACTGCTTATCTACAGTCTTGTGGTCATAAAACTTCCGGACATCCACCTGTCAATAACACATAGACTCATGAAAAATGTTTTTCGGACTCATTAACCACTCTCATGAGTCACTGAGTGCGTGTCGATGTTGGAATCTTTTTTAATCTATAGCAAAACAAAAACTGATGCAAATAAGGCATAGTACAAATAGTAATCCATCTCTATTGTAGTATCTCAATAGATACGACTTATATGGAAATATATTTTTCTATTCATCATATATTATAAAAACAAAATTTGCACTTACTGTGAATTAATGAATTAGTGTTGTTAAAAATAGAATATGTTTTATTTATCTCTTAAAATGAATATGATACTAAACAAGCGAAGCAAATACATTTTAAATATATTAATGAGATACACTTTCATAGATAAAGCTATTTCGAAAGGTAAAACGGTATGCTGGTTATCAAATATTGAGTATGATTAGTTGAAAAAATATATGCGCAGGTATGGATAAAGCGTGACTGTTGCGCACATTAGTAATTACCTTTTCGTACCCATGTTTATAGACAACGTTGTAAAATCAATTAACTGACAGCAGAAAGTGTACAAACATGAAATACACGTGGAGTTGGATAGCTATCTGAGTCATACGTTGCTGAACTCTTCAACGAACTTGATCCAAAGCTATTCTTTTTATTCTGAACTCGAGGAAGGGTGTGAATGTTGGTACATCTGTTTTCTTCATATATACACCTATACTCACATTCATACTTGCCTACATTAACATTCAACACTGTTACGGTGTATTCTCACTACATGCACCTCGATCCTATCTATTCTCTTTTCGTTGATGTTTTCGTTTCTATTGCTTTTCTTTGCTCTTGATTATTCTTTTCTATTTCGTCCTTGTTTTTCATGTGCGTATATAAACGTTTGTTTTCTCAAAGAATAAATAGAGAAAAAAGAAAACACATCTTAACTGTGTTTGTCGCTTCTCGTGAGCGCAAACCTTAACACACATCCATATTATACATCTACAACCACATTTGCTCAACATCCGCATGTACACCTCACCTCCTTCTAAAAATCTTTCATTTTGAGAATTCTACATAGAAAACACTTAATTCATACATTGTAAGTTTTAAATAAATTATACCTTCTAGAAAATTGAGTTAGCAAAAGTTCAAATGTTTTCAAATGATTATTAATCGTCAAACGATTTTATTATTTTCAGTAAAATGTTGGATCTTCCCTAAAGTAGGATTTCAATTTGATTTTCTGAAAAAAAAATATTTTCAAACGAAATTGACAATCAACAAGTTTTTAAAGATGTTTGAAAATTATTTCCAATTCCATAGAAAATCAACCTAGATTCTACTACAAAAAGGGAAAATCAGCATGACTTTTTGGAAATGATTTAAACAATGACAATTATAGAGCCAATGTTTAGTCACACATATAAATCAGCTGACGATGTCGAGAATTCATTGTTCTCCAACAGCTGCAGTGAATATCCAAGTTATATTAAGTACAGCTGGCGCATACCAGTCCGTCGTAAAATAATAAAAACAAGCAATCAATTTTTTTTACTGATCATAAGAGATAGTACATATAATTTTTTTTCTGAAAAAATATTTTCGATATTTCCCATTTTGTTTGTTTTTAAATTAAACGCTGTCTCCCATATATCGTGCTTGCGTTCAAAATTGATCGTTCACTTTTAAACCTTTTTATTACAACAAAAGTATTCATGCTATATAATTACACTCCAGAGTGAAACATCTTTTGGGATGTACATGACATACTTGAGCTTCTTGAGCAAGAAAGCCATGCGCCATGAACATATCTTGCAGCAAGATTTGAGGTTCTTTTTCGAGTTCAAGTTCTTAAGTTTCTTATTTTATTGCTTGAAATTCTTATTCGTGCGCTTGAGTTCTTGTTCATGTGCGTGTAATGTGCATGATTATTGAAGATCTTCTCTTTTGGAACTCTCCAATCATTCTTCCAATATTGATATCGTTGGTCATTAACTATTTAACGTTAAGAATATATAGGCAAGGGAAAATGAAAATATTGATACTATGAATACGTGTTTTTTTTGTAGGAAACATTATGATGTGTTTACCATAAAAGAAATAATGCGAAACAAATGATTTTTTTTGTATCAAATAATGCACAAAAGTGATTCGTTTAGGCAAAAAAAAAAAAAAGTACAACTATGATGTATCATGATGGCTAAAGAGCCGTGATACATCTCTCAAAGTTGCACTTTATAGATGTATAAAGAAGTGCGACAAAAGGCTGCATAATGGTGATCGATTTTTAGTGTACTTACGAAGGAAGGGAACGAACTGATAAATCGCTTTTTAAATTTTAGTGCTGTCAATTCGTAGAGCTTGTTGAGTTATTAAC